TGAGGGGAAAGTTTTTGCACCTAGAAAATTCACCTGGAATGCGCCCTTGATCCTAGTACCTAAGAAGGATGGTACTTGGCGCCCAGTGATTGACTTAAGGAAGTTAAACGCGAAAACTATTCCAGATCGCTTCCCACTTCCTGTACTGGGTGATCTTTTACGTAACATCGGAGATAACAAAGTCTTTTCAACCCTGGATTTGTTACAAGGGTTTTGGCAAGTCCCTCTTCACGAGGACAGCCAAGAGCTAACTGCATTCTCCACTCCTACAGATCATTATCACTTCCTCCATATGGCGTTTGGATTACGATCCTCCCCTATCACGTTCTCAAGGCTCATGACTAATATCTTTAGAGGTCTCGTAGGTAATGCACTTATGGTGTACTTAGATGACGTAATCGTCATGTCTAAAGACGTGGATACACACTTGAAAAGACTTGATGTAGTACTTGGTAAGCTTGAAGAAGCCAATTTAAAGATCAAACTGTCTAAATGTCAATTTTTCAGATCAGAAATTAAGTTTCTTGGTCACGTAGTCACTCAACGGTGCGGGATACCTCCAGTTAAAAGTGGGTGTTTTCACCGCAGGGGAGCGGTGAATACACTAAGAGAAAAATCTGTGAGAAGGCATCACGACTCTTCATGCATAAGGAGAGTTACTAACAATCTCCTAGCTGTCTTTAAGAGGGTACTCGACAGATTCCTTAAAACAGTTCCAGATCAGCAGATTATGTGCATGGCGCATGTGTAAGCACCTACCTCTCACTATGTAGAACGTTAGCTCGAATCCGCATGATTCTTTGTAAATATATTTACATTCGCGGCAGTGGGAATTCCCAGTTAGAATTCAATCAAATGTGAAAAGATTAGATTTAGAATTACGTAAACATTGAACAAATATGTAGACCCTCAAAAAATGTCTATACTATAAAAAAAATCATTTTGCTTTCTATTCCCTAATTTGATCAAATACTGAGCTAAGATTTCAGGCGCTGGGGGACAACGCTCAGCGCATGCTCAAAATATTACGTCATGTGAGAAAATTTAGAAATGCACAGCTGTCACTGAGAGGTTGTGAGTTATGTTACCCCGGTGGTGAGGTGCACATAACCTTGGCATCACTACCCACTATTTATACACTCTCCAACTTTAATTACCCCCGCAACCGGCACTCGTACACATCAAGTCGACATATTCTCAGTGTTGTTAGTAAACATCATCCGGATAACGCTCTTCCGTGCCTTGAAAATTTATTTCAGGGTAATGTTTCTGGTAAGAAATTGAAAATCAGAAAAACTTTGGATATTAACTGAATGTGAAATATGTTGGATGTCCTGGTTAATCCGGTATATTTAAGAAAACAGTAAGGAAAATGCAGTTTAAAGTATATAAAATAAGAACATAAAGGAATTACAGGAAGCCTGTTTACCCATGCAAGAATATCATTATAACTCTGTCCAATTTATTTTTGAAACTGTCCTAGGCTCTAGAAAACAACGAATTTGATAAATGATCCGAACGAAGAGCTTGGAGAAAACGGTCCCAAATCACTTAAGTTTCAATATCTCATAGAATTACCTTTATAAAGATAAAGGTAAGGTTCCCAATTTTCGAACCGCAGATTATTTGAGCTAAGGGGTTACCTGAGAAGTGCAGACTTATGTAACCTCAAACCATACCACGGGCGGGGTTAGAACCCGCGATCAGAGAGTCTCAAGACTCCAGACCTCACTAGGGACTATCATGAGGGAGACCAGACACTCGCTGGTGATTGCAGTCAGTATGACTTTCCAAAGCGTTGTAAAACCTGCCCAAGCTATATATGTTCCTAATAGGAAAAAGATTAAGACCCGTAACCCTGCAATCACACTTTACTGCTAACTGCATTATCTTGTCTTCAGGTATCAGCATAGTCCTTACTTTTATACACTCATTTACGCTATTTCCAGCGTCACTGTCTCAACACATGTATGTAATCTAAAGACTATGCACCGTAAATGTTATTACTACTACTACTACCACTTTTGCTATTAACTACTACCTACTAGCATGAACTACTATGCTGCAGTTAACTTTCTTCCCAAAAACTTCGTGTAAACTCTTAATTACTATGTTCCTTATTTTAAGCTAGGATAGGTTTCATATAAACCTATAAAACTTTTATAGACACAAATTTAAAAAAAAAACTAGTCAGGCGTTTACTGAGCAGCACCAGAGACCATTGAAATGTACACAGAGCATCACCAGTGGTGTGATGGTGAGAGGGTTGCAGGTACAAGCCAACAATATGTACGTCGCACTCATCTTCCACTAAGTTAGCATCGACGCAACACCACCAGTGTGTTTATTTCCAAACGAAAGTTCGTGTAATTTAGAATTTGTCCTGTGTCTCCTTTAAGTGCCTTTTTTTTATTATTTAAGAGTTAATGTGAGAGAAATTTAGTCATTCATTTGTATCTGAATACTATAGTTTTTTCACAGCCTCATGTCGATAAGTTCATGGATGGATATATTGCAGTTAGATAGGTTATTACACATTTTGGTGGACATATAATACTGATCTTACTTAGTATTGTTATTAGTGATGGTATTATATTCAAGTGTTTCAGAGTTATTAGCACTAGTAGCTGGTAGCTACGCAAAAACCCATGCACTGAGAACGCAGTTTTTTTCGTAATCTGTACATTAACTAAGACGACCTTTGCACGAGCTGAGTTTCCACTTCAAGAGTGAAAATATCGATGACTAGTGTAAATATCAATGAAGTGAGTGGCGGCCATTGTTTACATGTTGGCGGGGGGGGGGTGGGGGAGCATCCCCCAGTAAGTCAACAGTCTCTTGTGTAGCTCTCAGCCCCCTTTCTTCCTCCCCTCACCGCGATATTTATAGATGACTCTTAATTCTTTTTATAGCCTCCGATGTATCAAGGAGGTAATTTAAAACGTAGACGCAGGCGCTCCAAGAATTTTACGTGACTTACCAGCAATGTGTTTTTGTAGTGGGTGTGGGAAGCATGGTCAAGGTGATGTTTTGTCGATGATTTATGACTGATCGGGTCATACCAGGATTTATGACTTCCTTGTTGGTCATACAAGGATTTATGACTCCTTCATTGGTCATACCAGGATTTGAAGTCTGTGTATTAGTTCCCTTCAAGGGTATTTGTAAATGGTTTAGAAAATCAACAAGTTGGAGAATGAGACACTAGTGCAACATTTGGGAATCTTTATTGCAGAAACGTTTCGCCAACCAGTGGCTTCAGTCCACTACAGAGAAGAACGGTGGAAGATGTTGGACTGAACATATCGACTCCAGGCTGAGGGACTCGCTTGTTCTCTCTAGGCTGGAATACTGCTGTACATTAACATCTCCATTCAAAGCAGGTGAAATCGCAGATCTAGAGAGTGTACGGAGATCCTTTACTGCACATATAAGTTCTGTCAAGCACCTTACCTACTGGGAACGCTTGGAAGCACTTGTACTCGTTGGAACGCAGGAGGGAGAGATATATCATAATCTACACTTGGAAAATCCTGGAAGGAATGGTCCCAAATCTGCACACAGAAATCACTCCCTACGAAAGTAAAAGACTGGGCAGGCGATGCAAAATGCCCCCAATAAAAAGTAGGGGCGCCATTGGTACACTAAGGGAAAACACCATAAGTGTCCAGGGCCCAAGACTGTTCAACAGCCTCCCATCAAGCATTAGGGGAATTGCCAATAAACCCCTGGCTGCCTTCGAGAGAGAGCCGGACAGATACCTAAAGTCAGTGCCGGATCAGCCGGGCTGTGGCTCGTACGTTGGACTGCGTGCGGCCAGCAGTAACAGCCTAGTTGATCAGACCCTGATCCATCGGGAGGCCTGGTCATGGACCGGGTCGCGGGGGCGTTGATCCCCGGAATAACCTCCAGGTAACCTCCAACTCTCATCTTTCACCGTTCTTCTCTGTAATGGACTGAAGAAACACTGGCTGGCGAAGCACTTCCGTAATAAAGATTCCCAGGTGAGTATAGTTGAGTTTTTATTAAGATTGACTACGAATTTTTTTTACAATGGTCTTATAGAACAAGTAGTGTAAATTACCCCTCCTCCCCCCACATCAACCGTCGAAATATAGTTATGTTGGTAATTTTTTCACAATTTTGAGAAAAGGGCAGAAATTCAACTGTGTGATTAAATCCTGTAATTGTTTCTTATGAGATGTGCCCGCGGAGAAAGGGAACAGGGGTTTATGGAGGCTGGGAATAACATACCTGGCTCTTCTAAGTATAAATGATGCCAAAATAAATAATATTGTGTGCACAACAGGTGGATGCTGTGCCCACAGTATGTGTGCACAACAGGTGGATGCTGTGCCCACAGTATGTGTGCACAACAGGTGGATGCTGTGCCCACAGTATGTGTGCACAACGGTGGATGCTGGCCCCAGTATGTGTGCACAACAGGTGGAGCGTCCCCAAAGTTGTGTGCACAACCAGGGGTGCTGGCCCACAGTATGTGGACAACAGGGGGTGCTGTGCCCCGTATGTGTGCACAGCAGGTGGATGCTGTGCCCACATATTGGGGCCGCAGGGGATGCTGTCCCACAGTATGTGTGCACAGCAGGTGGATGCTGTGCCCACAGTATGTGTGCACAGCAGGTGGATGCTGTGCCCACAGTATGTGTGCACAGCAGGTGGATGCTGTGCCCACAGTATGTGTGCACAGCAGGTGGATGCTGTGCCCACAGTATGTGTGCACAGCAGGTGGATGCTGTGCCCACAGTAGTGTGCAAGCAGGTGGATGTTTCCCCCCAAGTATTTTGGGGTGGCCCCACAGAGGTGGATGCTGTGCCCACAGTAGTGTCACAGGGGGATGCTGTGCCCACAGTAGTGGCACAGCGGGTGGATGCTGTGCCCACTATGGGTCCCAAACAGGGGTGCCGCCCTCGTATTGTTGCACAAAATAGACGATGCCTTCACCAATAATTTCGCCTTTTAATTAGCTAGTTCATTTTTATGTATTGTGCACATTTTGTTGTCTGATAAAAACTTATACTAACACACTTTCATTGTTTTCACAGGCGGCAGCAAAACGAGTTGAAGGGAGGGAACATGAATGCAGGTGAGTGAACCATCTTGCTACTAGTATCTGTCTCAGGTTCTATACTGGAGGACGGTACAATCAGGTGGGAGTGTACTGTCTTGACACTAATATGTCTCAGGCTTTATACTAGAGGACTATGCAGGCAGGTGAGTATATTATCTTGACATTATTATGTCTCAGGTTTTTCTCTGGCGGGCGGTACCATCCTAGTCTGGAAATCTTTACATGGCCAATGTGTGTTTTGTATGTTGAAAGAGATGGTGATAAAATATGCACCAGAAATCAAATTACTACAGTAAAATGGAAAAAAAAGCAAGAAGTGTGCAATGTAGTTGGTAAACGAACACGTTACGTATAAAACGCCAAGACGAGCGTAGATATTATGTCACCCCTACGCCTCACCTTTACCCTTCAAGAGAAGTTCTTTGATGCTAGTATGGGACTCTTCAACCAAGGAATCAGTGCTATCCTTCCCTTCCTTGAAACAGACGTGATTACCTCCCAATCCTTAATGGGTTTAGCAATCCCCAAATGGATATAATATAATCATCCCTCAACTTTCCAAATTTATCCACCTGATTGATTTTTATTTGAAGATCCTGCTAAATGCCACATACAAGAACACACTATCGAACACTGAAAGAAACCAGAAAGAATTAAAAAATATATAAAGATTGAAGGAGAAAGCTAATTTCAGTATCGCAAAGAACATGATAGGCTAATATTAGTTGTGTTGTATGTATTGTCTACTGGATCACTACCTCCGCCAAGTATCACTTCAGCTAGGCTGCGATGACCAGGTGGGCCAGCGGGCAGCTAATAGTAACAGCCTTTGAACAAGCAGTCTGAAGGGGAACCTGGCCCCATGCAGGGCTACGAGGGTAGGAAACCCATCGAAACCGGTACCCGGTCACAGGGTGGAAAACTTAACTGAAATTGTCATTGACTTCTTGGAACGAAAATGCACTCATGTGGAAGTTTTATGTCTTCATGTATATGTTGGTACTAGCTACCTTGTGTGATACACTCGAGTCTGACAGGTGTATTGTTACACTGAATAATCTACTTAGTCTGGTTCTAGCAAAGATCACAAATTTATTCCTTATTGCATTTCCTGGAAAATTTAATAATAGTAACTACATTTAAGATTCCAAATCTTGCTATTAGTAATGAAGGGCATATACAGGATGACATTTTAAAATGTTATACTAGCCGTCCAAACATTATATAATTATACTTTAGAGAAATTATAGAACTATAAATGAATATACAGTACCAGGCTAAAACATCTCGTGGGCAATAAAGTACAGAATTTACAGGTATATCAGAAAGTGTTCATATCAAGGGTCATCATTTGGCCTCCACGAGGACCTGTTTGGGGAAACAAAGGAACATAAGTTTGCTGATCAAATCAAAACAAGCAGCTAAGCAACACACAAATTGAGAGGGAGACACCAGGAAGCTTCAGATGTGGATAGTTACTTGTATGTTACGAGTAGCAGATTACAGGGGTCCAACCCCGCCCCGACGTTCCTCCACCGCCTGGAAAGTGGCAGACGAAGTTGAACATGAACAAATATTCTAATTCTGGTCAGCATAACTCGAATGTGAAGAAAACAGATTAAGCGGGTTTCATGTTCTTGTGTTAAGCTGGTGCTATGGATTTATGCTAAGCTTTTATTTTTTTTTAAGGCTGATAAAATAACAGGAGCCCCAAGTATCAGAATGAGGTATGCTAAATTTCTGCTGACTTTGCTGCTTTTTTGTGATTTAAAAAAAAATAGACCAATTCATTTGTTATTAAGGGCAATCCTTTTACGAAAGTCAAAGAAACAAATATTTCATCGATATTGACAAAAAAAAGTAATAACCTAGTTTCGCATATTTTCTCTGAACCTCTTTAAACTTTTCCGTACTTTTCGCACACAGGTGGTAGCTATACAGTGGACTAATAAAGCTGAGAAATATGTTTAGCTTTAGTTACCAAACTGAAACTATGGAGCAGGTTTAAAAGTGTTTACCGAGGCAGTAGCTACTAATGAACTTGAGTAGTAGACACAACAACTAGGCACCTTCAACAGGTAGTGGCGGTGGTGGTATGTTCAGGAAAGCTGTCTCCTGACGCGGGTGTTAATAAGCTGACCTGCTCTATCAACAGTGTTCCGGGAAATTTCAAATACGTGGGTGACCACTAGACAACAACAGGACGATCAAGTCACTACATTCATGGCTGACACTGTGCTTACGTGTGTAACCATGGAATGTCTGACACTGTCTTCACGTGTGTTGGCATAGAATGTGTGGACTTGGCTTTGACGGTAAGAGTGATGACAACGGCCCTCGTGGTGGTGATTTTTATATAAAGATTATAAAACATAGATGAGGGCACAAAGAGCGACATCAAGTTTGCCGATGACACCAAAATAGGCCGTCGAATTCATTCTGACGAGGACATTAGAGCACTCCAGGAAGATTTGAATAGACTGATGCAGTGGTCGGAGAGGTGGCAGATGCAGTTTAATATAGACAAATGCAAAGTTCTAAATGTTGGACAGGACAATAACCATGCCACATATAAACTAAATAATGTAGATCTTAATATTACGGATTGCGAAAAAGATTTAGGAGTTCTGGTTAGCAGTAATCTGAAACCAAGACAACAGTGCATAAGTGTTCGCAATAAAGCAAATAGAATCCTTGGCTTCATATCAAGAAGCATAAATAATAGGAGTCCTCAGGTTGTTCTTCAACTCTCTACATCCTTGGTTAGGCCTCATTTAGATTATGCTGCACAGTTTTGGTCACCGTATTACAGAATGGATATAAATGCTCTGGAAAATGTACAAAGGAGGATGAGAAAGTTGATCCCATGTATCAGAAACCTTCCCTATGAGGATAGACTAAGGGCCCTGAATCTGCACTCTCTAGAAAGACGTAGAATTAGGGGGGATATGATGAGGTGATAATTTGGAAGACAGGAATAAATAAAAGGGGATTAAATAGTGGCTGAAAATATCTAGCCTAGACAGGACTCGAAAGCAATGGGTTTTAAGTTAGAAAAAATTCAGATTCAGGAAGGATATAGGAAAGTACTGGTTTGGTAATAGAGTTGTGGATGAGTGGAACAAACTCCCAAGTACAATCCTAGAGGCCAGAACGTTGTGTAGCTTTAAAAATAGGCTGGATAAATACATGAGTGGGTGTGGGTGGGTGTGAGTTGGACCTGATTAGCTTGTGCTACCAGGACGGTTGCCGTGTTCCTCCCTTAAGTCAAGGTAACCTGACCTGACAAGGTTGGGTGCATTGGCTTAAGCCGGTAGGAGACTTGGACCTGCCTCGCATGGGCCAGTAGGCCTGCTGCAGTGTTCCTTCGTTCTTATGTTCTTAAATGTAATTACAAAGAAAATAGACCTTTCAGCACGGGTAAGGATATTTATGAAAGTTTTTAAGGCAGAGGTACAGGTAGGTTCGCCAGGAGGTCTGATCTGGGACCTGCTGCGGGGGCGATCATCCCCGGAACAGGTACACAATTTATTTTAAATGAACTCGAGTGGTAAAGAGCAACTGTCAGTGAATAAAGCCCGAAATTTTACTGCCACATTAGGCTGCGTATTTGGGTTCATACTTTAATACTAGTCACTGATTTTTTTATTAATTCAATTTTCTTAGAACTAGGATCAAGAAATAACATTTCACTTTCGTTTCCAGTACGTATTACGATGTACTTATTTATTAGCCTAGTTTATGAAGCTGTCGAATTCGGCTTTCAATTTTAGATGCTTGAGTGCTGGTGTAACTTTGCTCTTTAGATTTCTCATTTAGGAATGTTTATACTGTACAACATAGCCATCTTCGTCCTGTCTGTCTGTATGTATGTAAAGAACAGGACTGGTCCCCAGGCTGACTCCTGTGGCACGCCACTCGTTTAGCTGTGATACCTTTGCGTCTAGTTACACATGTTTGTGACCCGTCAACTTTTAAACACACCACAGACTTAATAGTAGACAAGGTGCACAACGAAGAATAATAAAGGTCACAACTTGCCTAGAACAATATACATCTGGTGCACAAATTAGATATAAATCCTGGACCATTGTCAAGTCCACACACACACACACACACACACACACACACACACACACACACACACACACACACACAGGGAGGAGTAAGCCAAAGATCAGGTGCCGCATAATGCTCCATGACGGACAGGAACGTCGTCTAAAGATTTATATATAATTCGTGGGTTAGTCATGAATGTAAAGTAATAGTTAAATACGAACAGTGTGAAAATTGTCTTCACAAATCAGTGAAATGCGAATAACTGCCACGTGGATGAGGTAGAGAGAATTAAAAAATGGGATAAAAGTTATTTTAAATGAGGTGTGGTAAATATTTTTGCAAAAGAAACTGTCAGGTAGTAAGGCCAGTGGGTGGACCAGCGACAATGACGTGAATAATATGAAGGTTCATAACGTGGAAGTTAGAACAGCAAAGGTTTCACACGAACACTTTAACCTCTTGGTCGTCGTTTTGCATATTCATGTGAGGTATTCCATCATAGTTTGGAATACTCTCGTATAGAATTAAGGATTCTACTGTATTTCAGCTAAAGCACGCTCTTTAGTCTCTCATAACATCCTCCTCCTCCTTCCCCCTTCCTTCCTGGCTCCTAGTCGCACTTTAGCTCCTCAGTGTCTGGTGCTTCCTCTCTTGAGTATGTTCTAAGGTCAGATACCCCGCGGGTCGGTCTCAGACCAGTCCTCCCGGCGGATCAGGGACTGATCAACCAGACTGTTACCGCTGGCCTCGTGCATTCCAGCGTACGAACCACAGCTCGGATGATCAGGAAATGAGTTAAGGAACCTATTCAGTTCCCACTTAAAGACTGCAAATGACGGGAGACTTTTGAATAGTCTTGGGCCCCTTACACTTAGTGTTCTTTGTGTGCTCATGGCACTCTTGCTTTTCATTGGGGGTATTTCGCACCGTCTGTCGAACCTTTCTTACGTAGGGAG